GCTGGTTAAAATAAAGCAGCAAGGGCTGCAGTTTCCCAGTGCGGACTGTGGGCGCCGCTGTTGGCCAAAGTGCAGAGCTTGGGCACTGGCGATCTTCTCGCGCAGCCGCAGCGCACTTTCCTGTATCAGACTCGCTAGGTCGAACCTTTACGCCACTTCCTCCTCTGGAAAAGAGGGAACCCTGACCCTCACGCAGGCAGTATAGCCTGTTCGGAACTCTGGACATCTGCAGCACAGAGATTATTTGTAATCCGGCGTCTCCAGGCCGGTGAGCAACCTGAGGGGAGCCGAAGGGATGGGGAGCGGCGCTGGGGAAAGGGGCTGGGCTGAGAGGCGGCCAGTGCTTCTTCCCTTCCTGCTGTCTTTGTTCTGCCCGGCGCTCACGGAGCAGATCAGCTATAAGATTCCCGAAGAAATGCCCGAGGGCTCGGTGGTGGGGAACCTCGCCAAGGATTTGGGACTCAGCGTCCATGAGTTACCGACTCGACAACTGCGCATCAGTTCGGAAAAACCTTACTTCACTGTGAGCGCCAAGAGCGGGGAGTTACTTGTGAGCGGCAGGCTAGACCGGGAGCAGATATGTGGCAAGAAGCCAGCCTGTGCTCTGGAATTTGAGGCTGTTGCTGAAAATCCATTGAACTTTTATCACGTGAGTGTGGACGTAGAAGATATTAATGACCACACACCAAAATTCACGCAAACTTCCTTTGAGCTGCAAATAAGTGAGTCTACAAACCCTGGGGCACGATTTATTTTAGGATCTGCCCATGATGCAGATATTGGTGCCAATTCATTATGGAATTACCAGCTCAATCCGAATGATCATTTCTCACTCCTGAATAAAGAGAAGTTAGATGGTAGTAAATACCCTGAGCTGGTACTAAAGATGCCTTTAGACCGGGAAGAGCAGAAATCCTACCAGTTGACCTTGACTGCATTGGATGGCGGGGATCCACCCCTAAGTAGTACTGCCCAGATACAGGTCCTAGTGACTGATGCCAATGATAACCCTCCAGTGTTCAGCCAAGAAGTATACAGGGTGGGCCTTCCGGAAAACGTGCTTCCTGGCACCACTGTGCTTCGAGTGATGGCCACCGATCAGGATGAGGGGGTCAATGCCCAAATCACCTTCTCTTTCACTGAAGCAGGCCAGATCACCCAGTTTGACCTGAATTCTAATACGGGAGAGATTACTATTCTAAATACATTAGATTTTGAGGAAGTCAAAGAATATTCCATAGTTTTGGAAGCAAGGGATGGTGGAGGAATGATTGCCCAATGTACTGTGGAGATAGAGGTCCAGGACATAAATGACAATTTCCCAGAAGTGGTAATCCAGTCTCTACCAGATCTTATTATGGAGGACACCAAGCTGGGAACACACGTTGCCTTGCTTAAAATTCGTGACAAGGATTCTGGATACAACGGAGAAGTTACTTGTAAATTAGAAGGTGATGTTCCATTTAAAATACTCTCTTCTTCGATAAACACGTATAAATTAGTGACAGATGGAGTTCTAGACCGTGAGCAAACCCCTGAGTACAATATTACTATCACGGCCACCGACAGGGGCAAGCCGCCCCTTTCATCCAGGTGCAGCTTCACCCTACGCGTTGGCGATGTCAATGACAACGCTCCGTTTTTCCACCAGGCCTCCTACCTGGTCCGCGTGATGGAGAACAACCCTCCTGGAGCGTCCATCGCCCAAGTCAGCGCCTCCGACCCCGACCTGGGGCCCAACGGCCACGTCTCCTACTCCATCGTGGCCAGCGACCTGGAGCCACGGGCGCTGGCGTCCCACGTGTCCGTGAACACGCAGAGCGGCGTGGTGTTCGCGCAGCGCGCCTTCGATCACGAGCAGCTGCGCGCCTTCGAGCTGACGGTGCAGGCGCGCGACCAGGGCTCGCCAGCGCTCAGCGCCAACGTGAGCCTGCGCGTGTTGGTGGGCGACCGCAACGACAACGCGCCCAGGGTGCTGTACCCGGC